TCTATCAATATGGTGTATTCACAAGACATAGTTACATTTATCGAAGAAGCTGAATGACAATACAAAGATGTTTGAGAAATGTTTATGATATTGACCATCCATAAAGTTTCTTGAAAGCTGCACCGATAGTAGTAGCAAAAAAGAACAATCATGTTTCGATTATCGTGCTCATTACTACTTGAAGCCTTATAATGTCGTCAGTATCCCTTACTGTTATATGCTAGCAAGGATAAATTAAAGTCGAATTTGTGGTGTTTGAATTAACTAATGATTCTTTTGTACTTCTTGAATGCTCGGTTTCGAATTCCAAATACAATATATTCGTTTGTGATTGTGTTTTACTTCTTAATTCAATTGCGTTATTTCTGGGACTCTTAGTTCGTACTATAATTCAAATATTTTCAAACATTATACTGGCGTCGCAATGGAGCCTGCGATGGGAAAGTTAGATATTCATTCAACTTCGGAAGCTTTTGAGGATTATTTTGAAAGGTTCGAAATCTGGGCTATGACCAAGGAAGATGCTGAGGACGTTAATGTTGTGGCACATTTCCTCACATTCATCGAAAAAGAAGCATATAGCTTATTAAGAACTCTGGATATGCCGGAAAAGCCTATCTCGCTTCCTTATACAACTCTCAAGGAACTGCTGCTGGACTATGTTAAGTATACAAATTTCGAACGCAATAAAGGAAGATTTTGTAAAGTGATTCACGAGGATATAAAAAATTCCACTACATTGCGTCATCCCAACCCAGTGCATACTCAAGGCTATGCAGATAATTCATTGAGGAGTTGCAATGCATTTCACGAAGATTTGCACAAGTATGGTCAGCGTTTGTCCTGTGGCAAGTTCCACTCTTTTAATTCACGTAAATTTGGTAATTCTTTGTGCTTTAAATGTGATGATATTGGACATATTCAGTCAGTCTGTAATGCTAATGTTCATCTTACTGCAACTAATATTAAATCTTGTAATTCTGATTCTACTAAGTCCAGTATTTACAATGATGATTTATCTTTATCAACGATTGCAATATACAGTGTAGAGTCGCATAGCAGTTCAGAGTTAAATGAAACTCAGAATTCTTGCAAGACAATGGTTTCTAATCAATCAATTTGTCAGGATTCTCATGTTATTGTACCAAATATGGCTTTTCCTAATGACTTACATATTTCTTATGAAATTCCTTGCAAATCTGAAAAAAATATGTTGAGTGAACATAATTATGATCGAAAACCTGATGTACTTTTGATGGATGCTGATTTTTCTAATGATTCATTACTCTGCAATGACATTCTTAATAAATTTCATGGAAATATTTCAGAAGAATCAAATCCTGATGTCATATCATATATTACCTATCTTCATAATGTATTTGATTTTTTGTGAAAAGCTTGTTCAATGCGAAGCACGAGTACTAAATGAGCTCGATTTTGATTACAATTCGGATGATTTCATATCAACTGTTGTTTACCGTTATCACAAAAACAATTCTAATGTTTACTCCAGTCAATGTGAGAAATATGTTTTAAATGAAGCCACATTATTCATAACTTGGGGATATAAAGATTCAACATTATTTCGTGGTGGAGGATAGTGTTGAAAAATCTATGGTTCAAATTCTAGATATTAATGATTTCAGTACAAAACCGACAAGCAGATTGTATAAAATTCCAGGTGAGTCTGTTCCGATTTCGTTTGTTAATTCCGATATTCATGAGCACATTCTAGATACTACAGAGTATTTATCCAATATAATGTCGGACGGACCCAGGATGAACTTAAGAAGAAGACGTACAACCAATTACAGAAAATTATATTCTAATTTAAGCTGTGGCGGACGTGGTGTTTGAATTAACTAATGATTCTTTTGTACTTCTTGAATGCTCGATTTCGAATTCCAAATACAATATATTCGTTTGTGATTGTGTCTTACTTCTTAATTCAATTGCGTTATTTCTGGGACTCTTAGTTCGTACTATAATTCAAATATTTCCAACTATTATAGAATTCTGGGGACTATTAATAGGATAATATAATATATATATTCTTATTGTACAAATACACAGCTGCTATATTATTTATATTCATATCCTTCTTATTACAAGCTTTATTTTGACCTATATGCCTTGACTACACTTTTTACTATTCATAAGCCATTTCCAGTTTCTTAATTGCAGTCTCCGACAGCCTTTTCTCTTGATCGTGTACAAACGTTATTTCCTGTTTTATGGTGTAATATGGTCTGTTTGGCTTGTATATAAACCAGGGATGTTTGAAATAAATGACTCGCATAGTGGGATCTGGTATTCTTGTTCTGAACATACCTCAGTCACTACCACAGATAAACGTGTTTACACTCAGCCATTCGAACACTCACTTGTTTACTTATGATCAAATGGAAATTCATTCTATGCTTCCTAATTCAACCAAATCACGATATCCCTTTCAAGAGGTTATTTAATTCGATCTACTATTGCTAGGATGGTAGAATCCAATTAACACTGACGATCAGACAAACATAGAGTTGATTTCTGCTCAGTGATCAGTCATTGAACTCAATAAATCTATACCTCAAGAATCCTACTGGACAGTGTAACCATAAATGAAGCATCAGGTAGAACAAAAGAATCAACTATGTAATCAGTCACTTAATATAGAATATTGATCGATTGAACAAATGAAGAATTACCGTGAATCAATTAACTATTAGAAGTGAATACATAAGTGTAAGAAACAAAATATGGCAAAATATAAGTTGAATTACCAACAGAGATCAACTTTGATGCATAATATTCAGAAATTTGATGTATGCTGATTATGACTGTTAACAGACATAAGTAGTATGTAACACCAGTAGAAAGTGGGATGTCTACGAACAGAAGTCTGACAGGATTGTAATGAAGAGAAGAAAGTAGAAAACCAAAAGTAGAGAAGACAACATCAGGAATGAAGAAAGAATGAAGCTTGCAATAGACCATATAAAGAAGATATGAAAATGATATATTGGATGTATCGTGGTGCATGCTACTTATATTGACATAAGTAGTATATAACGCGAGTCAGGAATGTAATATCTGGCAACAAAAGTTTGGGAAAATCAAGAAAGGAAGAACGAGAATAGAAAGCAATCAGTATAGAAATACAAGAACAATGAAGTCCGAGACAATTATTGAACATTTTGCAAATTAAGTATTATAGTACGGTTTTTCTATTTTACCAATTAACTCTGTAACGTTGCGTTGAATTTAATTCGGTTGTCCTCACCTGTGTTCTCCTTCGCCCCATTGTGGTTATCCCATTTGATTAAACCATTGTGGGATTTTGTGTTAAACAAGAAATTCCCGATTGTGATATGAATGAACAATATGCTTTTCAATAAATTCTCTTCAGATTCTATAATCGTATTATCCAAATACATCATCCGTGAATTGGTCAGATTTAAGGTAAAATGCATCGTTTAAAATAGACAGTGTGTGAATTGAGGAGTGTTTGTAATAGAAAATAAAATAAACGGATCATTGGTCCAGTGGGTTAAGCGTTCGCGCGCGAGACTGAAGGCCCTGGTTTTGAGTCCCGCAAGAAGCATCTGGGATGCACACTGCTGAGGAGTCCCACAGAAGGTCGAAACGGCCGTCCAGTGCTTCCAGGTTTTCAATGGTGGTCTAATATCAATCGGTTCATGATCTTAATCAAAAACACTTTAGTGTTGTGATGACTACTATGTAGTGTTGAATTTATGATCTAAACGCTTAACAATGATCACCATATTGTAGTGGAGATTATTGAAATTTTGATTGAGATCACAAATCGATGAATTTTAGATCACCAATGAAAATTCGGAAGCATTGTACAGTTGTTTCATCTTAGAATGGGAATCCTCAGATGTGCTTTCACGGGATTCGAACACAGGAATTTTCGTAACATCTTAACAACTCATTGCAGGCACTGAAACACGACTACTATAATCTTGAGCAGTTTCAAATAAGACAGTGTTTATGCTCAACATTGAAATCTAACCTTAGTTAATTACGTCAAGTTGCTGTCACAGAAAAGTGAGTTCGGTCTCAACCGACTAAATGTCTAAAATAAAATAAAATAACATGACTGCCCCAGAAAAACACATTTTATTTACTGCCTCCATAGTTCACAAATAAAGATGAAATAATTTGTGCTAATAAGTTGGTAAACTAAATATAACTAACTTCATGTTAAACTCATGTGGAGAAATACTGCGTCTCAATGAGTTCTGAGTTGCTTACTTTGTGACCACTAAAACAACGAGTCACATAATTTAGTGTATCTAATCTTGCATAGACTTATTAGCCTTTTTTCTGATCAGTGTTTGTTTAAAGGATGAACATGGGTTAAAATCCGTCCACCAGCAGTTCACAATCTTCATCCTTTGAATTGATTATACGTTCGATTATAAATGAACACACATTAATTGTGTACTTGATCATTTACAGAGGAGGAGACTTCAAGTGGTGTGATTCTGAACTTCAACAACTTGAAATATAAACATGGAAATGATGTTGAATACTCAACATAGAGTCACATTTTGACAATGTGTCTACGAACGTTGTTCGAATATTATATCACTTAATTGTCTACAACTGTTCAGTGACATTACGATCCATTTATTTTATGCACAAAACAGTTGATTAATGACAATTATAATAAAGATATATAAGATCACTCTGATAGAATACAGTAATATTCTGTGTTGACATGTTGATAATCCGGTACAAACAGGAAAGGATAAGAAGTAAACATAGTATTGCAGACAAAGAATACTTTACAACAAAACATTAACAGCATTACTGTGGACAATTGCTGCTGAAGTCTGAAAAGAACGATTGATAGTAGTCTCTGGAGAAGAAAAAAGATGTTTTACAAAATTATCAAATGAAGTCAAACTAAATGAAGTGGAAGTCAACGTAAGTGAAGTGGAATTTGTTTGGATGGAACTTGCACAGTTGGGTGCTCTGAGCAATTAAAACAATTTATAATATTCTTCACTCTCAACAGACAGACGAATATGCTCTGAAGGGCCAACTGAATATGAACTGTATATAGTCCAACAAAAACTACCGTTTAGTAGACACGGATCCATATCAATTAATGACAGTGATCTGAAAGCAAGATATTAAGTTGAAAAAAATCTCACGGTTTCAAAGAATGATTAAAATTAGAGCATGGAAATCAAGGTAGATATAGCATCAGAGAATTTACTACGTGTTTGTATTTTGTTTTCTGTATTTTTCACTGATTGAAATCATGAGTCAATTGAAGCTAGACCACCATGGAAAACCTGGAAGCACTGGATGGCCGTTTCGTCCTATTGTGAGACTGCTCAGCAGTGCGCATCCACGATCCCGTCCAGTGCTTCCAGGTTTTCCATGGTGGTCTAGCTTCAATTTACTCATGATTTCAATCAGTGACATTTCTAAGATCTCCACAAAATACACCTCTATTTTTATCAAATGGACACATATCATTTACAACGACCATCCTCTCAAAACTGTTTAAATCGAGGACTGCAACTTAATCATTCAATGATGGTTATGTATTTGAATATTACATTGAATCATCACATCTACTAATTGAGTACTTTTAATCAATATGTGTTTTGGCATAAAGTATACTTTTGATGACAATAGTAGTGTACATTATCTGATAGTGTGATCTGTCTACTGACCTCAGTTGTTGTTTGTAGACATGCCAATCGTTATACTTTCTCGTTGTTTATCACCGTATTCTATATGAATAATCAAATTACTTGGCATTCTCTATTGCGTCTTAAGCATAATATGAATCATAATTATAATAAGGAATCTGGCTCTCCAATGATGTATTCATATGACTAAAAATCACTAAAATCACTACTCACAAGGAATAAAGATGAATGAGATTTTCATCTGACAAATGATTGCTCCTTTCTGAAGAGAAAATGAAGTGAAAACAAATATTTTTTCTGTGGATCCATGGAAGGTCTTTGTTAAGCTTTGAATAGACACTGTGAGCATTTACCATTTTATTTCACATGAGTTTATTTTAACCTTAGTTTCGTCGACTAGTCTTAACATATAGAAGGCAGACACATAGGTTATCAAATCTACAGCACCGTCTGTAACCTTGATGTATGTCTCAGAGACATCGGAAGATGAGATATGGCCTCATTTGTGGCAATAATGCAATGGGGTATGTCAAACGTATATACCCTGGTTAGTTTCAAGGAAGAAGGTCCACGGCCATCATCGGATCAGCTGCGATAACGGAAGGTTACTGAGACATAATGTATGCGGAATTCGATACTCAACCCAATTACGGAAGGCAGTGGGTTTGAAATAACAGAGGATGATCATGAAGAAGCAGTGGGTACAGAAAACTATTTCAGTGCATTTTCCACTCAGGACCCTTATCCAAACGAACAACTAGACTAAAATACAGATTCCAAAAGCCGAATTCCCTACGTGGACGTTGATAAACACGATGTACGTAATGGCTGTTGGCACGTAAGACATCGAGAAGTCAATAGGACTTAATGAAAAGCAACTCAAAATCCTGGGACAAATTTCGCAATAAATTGCAAGCCAACTCACTGCGATATTCAATATGTCACTTCACCTTGATATCTTACCTACTAACTGGAGGGATGCAGTCGCCGCTACAACACATAATACAGGACCGATACAACTTCCTTCGAAATACATATCAGTCAGCTACCTCGGCGGTGAAGTTTTCGTATGATGAAGTTTTCACGAAACCTTGGTTTACGCCGTTCTCCATTTTTATTCAACACCACAAAAGTCGTGTTATGATCAATCTTATGGCCTGTTTCGATTATACTGACCTTTGCTGCTTAATACATCTTGTTAATGATTGATTCAAGTCTTTTTTCAATCAAAGGCTATTTGAATCTGCTCTAAATAATAAGATGATGAAGAAAGGCTTTTTTATATCAAGACTATAATAGGTCTCACTGTATCATGACCATTCCATCTATTTATGAATTTCAGAGAATAGCCAATTTCTGTTAATGTTTTTATTGAGCAACCTAACACTACCTTCAACGGCGTGATTTGTACAAATACGATTAAGCCTGTTAAGTAGGCACGTTATCAAACCACGTTTGCACTGAACGAGGCAATAACTACAATAACTAAAGTATTATTCTATCCTTGTTGATTTTCCCAGTCTGAACTGGTCTGACAGAATGTATTTATTGAAATAAAATTGAAATATAACAGTGTTACTTGTAACATCCAAACAAAATAGATTGTGTTACTTTGATTTTAGCCAGTCAAGTCAAAACAATGCACCACTGCCCATGAATTAACAGTTTATTACAGACAACATATGAGCACATTTATTCAACTACAAGTTAACCAATTACTTATTTCAGAGTATTGTAAAACAACATATCCAAGTGAGATTTCGCCAAATGGTGAGTGGGGTCAGGAATTTCAACCAAAAATGGATAAATATCAGTTTATGTTCTTAATAGACATAACAATATTGAATAAAGATAAGTTCATCTACCACTATAATTGGTTATCAATGTACTGTGAATCAGAAAGAACACAACCAAACACTTCAAAACTCTATATAAATCTAACAAGTTTTTTTAAAATTTGATTTACTCCTTTGAATAAGATGATGAGGTGAGTGTTGACTGATGAACACACAGAGTAAATGAATGTATCCTATAAAGTGAAATTCAATTAAATGAGATAACATTGTTTACTTCATTTAAATCATTGTAGATACAATTCTTCATCATTTAGCTTATTCATATCACTTTATCTGATCGTTGTATGGTTCTCTTCTGAATTCTTCAAATGTCAAGATATCTGTACAAAATGTCACTCAAACAGCTTAGAAAGAACAATTTTTCAAAATGATTCATATCGATTTGTAAGTCAATAATCATATTCTAATAGACATAATCAGTCTCTTCATTATAATTATTTAATGAGAATTCGTCGTAATCAATCATATCCACTTGTAAAAGATAGTCCTAATATATTCACTGCACCTCAAGTGAGTTGACTATATTTTGTAGTGGACGTACTTATTCAAATATTTTTACATTTGTTTAGTATTTTCCCCTGAACTTCTCGTTTAAATATTACGATCGTCATGTGAATGACCTTCTTATTTATCTTTATGGTAAGTCAATAATTTTTTTTGAAACTACAATGGGTACAAAGTTTTCTTGATTAGATTTCTGTTTAAGAATCAAAATTGACTCAATTTCTTGCCAAATTGAACGCTATATTCGTTTCCTAAGCTATTCTATAAACCCCAAGCTAGAACTATACGACGACCTGTACACGAGAGAGAAGTCGCAAAGTATGCAAGATGTACTTTACTCCAAGGTTCATTTTAATGCAGAAAGAATATAGGGTTTTATAATATTTTAAATGTCCTTGATTTGCTTGAAGATTCCGGAATGCTACTAAACATAGTAGCAGTATAACAATCAGCCAACTTGAACTTCCAGATGTGACGTTTCACTTTCTTGATATTTCTGGCTGAACTTCAAGTGAACCCTGATTGGACGAAACGCTTCTCAGTGTTTCCTGATCTTTGCTTGTCTTTTTCGAGAAATTTTCTGGATCACCTCAACACATCCAAAACGTCGTCAATAATCTTTTCTTGCTCGTTTATCCGGGCTTTGGACTGGTAGTAGCCCCCGGAGGTACTTCAGGCGGAGTTACTTACAGTTTGTCCAATTTATTTTAGTTTGTTTCATTATCTTTTATTCATTCAACATAAAATGATCAATCAAGTTGCTTTTTCTATTAAGAGAATAAAGGTTTAATAGATATATTCAGCGAAAAATACATTGGAAGAATTTTAAATCGGTTAAAAGATATAACGAAATTGATATTTGAAGTTTTGAATGAAAGTAAGTTCTTGTATTATTTAATTATAGTTTGATCTGTAACCTTTCCTCACATTCATTTTGTATAAATACATCTCACCGACATGACACTTCTTGGTAGATTAAATGAATCATTCTGATCATATGTGAAACAATAAGCTGTGTTATGAGTAAAATGTGTTTGGATTATTGAAGCCTATGAACAATCAAGTTATATTTGATACCCTCCAATATCTTTCTAGCACTTCTACGATTCATATAAATCCAATAACTTTTGAGTTACTGTCAGTTGACCATCGAATATTCAACACTGTCTTTGTAATCATATTTGTATGATTATGATCTTCGACAAAGAACAGTCTACAATTACAAGATGTTTTAATAGAATCGGAACACCTAGAAGATCAAGTTGACATCCGTTCATTTCGGTCAGATATCAGAAGTCAAGAAGGCAAGAGTCCAACTTATGGACGAGCCAATCAGAAGTAATTTAGAAATTTCAAGGTTACGGCGCCAACTTCAGTGCTTAGTGTTAACGTACAATCGGTTCACAGGGAATTTCGTACAAAACGTGATAATTGAGCGGCTAGAACAAACAAAACGGCGAGACTATAATTTGTGGACGAATCAACGAGTTATAAGATAATAGATCTCGAATTTGAACGGGAAAGCTTTCCATGCATTTGGCTAAATAAATTTCTGGCATTATAGCTGATATCAGTTCGTGATGAAAACCCCATATATAATTCCTAACTGAGGTAACTTACGAAAGTTATCGCGAACTGCATAATAAAAGCACCAGTAACACCGGCTGCAGCCAGGTACTGCAATTCAAATGGATGTTTGGAGAGCGTACAAATTCCCACATAGGCTTGGTTATGTGTATCGTGTCGTCATCCACAAGTAGCATTTTGTGCACTCAACAACCGAACTGCACATAAACAATATTGAAGCTATGTGTTTGAGGCTGAAATAGTTTTTAAGACTTTATCATGGCTCCAGATGTTGACTATTCTGTAGCCATATTTATGATTTCCTCTACTACATGCATTTGGATTTTAGAACCTCCGAACGTCTTTTTAACCTTGACAAGTTTCAGAGCCACGTATAAGAAATAAGTGTATCCACTTTACTTCTTTTGTTTTGCATAATATATTTTTACTCTATACAGTCTGTGTGTTGATTGTCGGATATTTCTCAAAATCATTTAAGGTTCGTTTAAAGGTCGTCCATAACTTAGTCTCGCCGTGAACAATAACGGAATTTCAGGTATTGATTTTGTATGCGAATTGTCGGATAGATATTCAAGACCCTACTCAGTCAAAACCTCTTGGAATAAGTTTTACGAGTGTGAAATTGTTATGTTTCGTTATTGCTTGAATGCGATTACTGATGCGTCTTATTCGAACGAACGAAGGATCAATGATTCAGCGACTCGATAGCTGTCCTGGTTCGTTGTCCCCAACTCTGTTGACTCGATCAATAAGTCTGGGTAAGGTGTAGAATGTGTATTCTGCAGACACACAGCAGATAACAATCCAAGTCAAGCACGCAATCAAGCATATTGATACAGTTATTTACAACCGATATTGTCATAGAAAATTTTTAAACATTATTCAACGAGTTCATCAATTGACCTATTTGCGCATTTAATCGATAGTTCATTAATTGACCCCAATAAAAATATCTAACATTTAATCGATAAGATAAAATTTAAAATTATGAGTTTGGGGATCTATCGTCCCCAACACCCCTCCCCTTTTTAATAGAGGGCTTTCCTGGGGTTAACCTGCATCCTGACTGTTGCTCGCCGTTCTTGGATAGGCCACCGTCTGGGACGTGTTTCAGCTTGTTGTTGAGGTTTTTCTTGTGGTGGGGTTGCCGGTAAGTTAAATGTGTCTAGCAAGATATCAAGAGGAATATTTTCTTCATCTGATGGGCTGTCTGGGGCTAACCGTTTGAGTACTTGATTCCGATGGCGTTGCCACCTGTCACTGCCTACCTCAACAGCGTACATGACTCGGCCAACTCTTCTGACTACTCGCGCTTCTGTCCATGGACTATGGGTCGGTCTGTAATCACGGGCAAACACAGGACATCCCACTATGTACGTGGATCGCTTTTCAAACTTTGTCCGTACTGGTGTCGGTGCATTATTTAGATGCATCAGGCTGTGGATCGTCTTCAGTCTTCTTCCCATTAGGGTCTCTGCTGGGGACTTTCGCTCCGGCAACGTCTCATTTGGTGTTGTTCGATACGCGTATAAGAAATTTCGCAACGCGTCTGCTGGCGTCCCCTCCCCTTTTGTTTTAGCCAAGGCTCTTTTAAACGTATCCACAAACCTTTCTGCTTGCCCATTTGACTGCGGGTGGCATGGTGGCGAGCGTAAATGTTTTATGGCTAGTCGTTGACAGAATGACTGGAATTGGCTGGAGGTGAACTGTGAGCCGTTGTCAGATACAATAGCATCTGGTATACCATTTCGGGAGAAAATTTCTGTGAGGATCTGTATTGTTTTAGTTGTCGTTGACGGTATGATAGGGTTGATTTCAGGCCATTTCGAAAGGGCGTCGACAACAACTAGATACATGGTTCCGTTAATCGGGCCTGCAAAGGCGACGTGTATTCTGGACCAAGGATGATCAGGTTGTGGCCATGAAACTGGTGGAACTTTGGCGTCCATTTTTGCCGCTTGCTGACACCCCATACAGTTCCCAACCAATTCTGTTATATGTTGATCCATTAGCGGCCAATATGCATGAATCCTGGCTATGGATTTCATTCGTCTAATCCCCGGATGACCAAGGTGGAACTGTTTCAGCACTTTTGCACGAAGGGATTCTAGCACAACCACTCTATTTCCGAACATCAAGCAGTCGTTTACAATGCATAGAGAATCCCGCCGCTGATACAGCTGTTTTATATCACCATCAAACTTCTTGGACGGCCAAACGTTGGTGACATAGCTCATAGTCCTGTTGATCATGGTGTCGCTCTTAGAAGCATTTTGTATGTCCTTTGCAGATACCGGTAAAGTTCGTATTGCGGTCGTCAGATAACATTCGGCGTGGTCTTCCGCTAGCAGAGATGCGATTACCGTGTTTTCTTCAGCCGTCAACTGGTCACTAGTGAGCCGTGATAAGGCATCCGCCTGACCGAATTGTTGAGTGCGTCGGTACTGGATCTCGAAATCATACCCCAAGAGTGCTAAAGCCCATCTTTGAAGACGATTTGCTGAATGAGCTGGAATGCCAGATTTCAACCCGAATATTACTAGTAAAGGCTTGTGATCTGTGAGAAGCGTGAATCTCCGACCGTACAGCAACTTGTGGAAACGGCGCACAGCGAACACAAGCGCAAGCGCTTCTTTTTCTATCTGGCAGTATTTTTTTTCTGCTGGGGTTAGAGTTCGGGCTGCATGCATAATGGCTTTTTCCGACGCATCCGGAAATTGATGGGAGATAACAGCGCTTAGGCCATTCGCTGAAGCGTCTGCAGCTACGATGATCGGCATGGCTGGATCGTAGTGTGTCAACAGCAATTCAGCTCATTGAGTTGAAACATTTTCAATATCTTTGAAATGATAAAATTCTTTGGAATGTCTTCAAAAGAGATAATTAAGCATCTCATTACACCGATTCATTTAAATCTAGGAATGCATTGATGATTTATATGAAAAGCTAGTCGATGTTAAAACGTACATCTTTTGAAAGAGAAAGATATTCATTATGCAGATATCTAAATATGTATATTGATCTTCATTATTTCAGAAGAATTATTCGTTGTCAAATCATCTTTTGTGAAAACAGTTAATGGTACAGGTGAGTAAGCGATGAATGATCTTTTGACTACACGTGTGAAA